ATGTGTGGTTGAAAATGAAGGAAAAGTTATTGATGTGATGAAAAATATTATTTTATTGAAGAATGTGTGATTGAAAATGAATAGAAGAATGAGAATGAAAATTTTAATGTGGCTCAAACAGGGGTTAAGAACAAAAAAAAAGGAGTGGTGGGGTTAGGCAACAATATAAAAATCAGGTTCCCCAAGCACTACACTTGCTCATCCTGGATCATATTTGTAAAGTCAAATTTGATCTAGTTTGTGAATGAGTTTTGTGAATTGTGATATTGGAGCTCAACTAAATCACTCCACTTTCAGAATCTCCCAAACAAACCTAAGTGTTTTCGGAGTACTTTATCTTGATTGGTGTAGTAGTTCCCTCTTGACTTTGTTGACATTTTGTCTTCACAGTGAAAGAAGCATTAGAATTCACAGCATAATAAACTTTTGGCTTCACTCTTGTGATCAAGGGCGCAGGACATATGGCTGGAAACTAATGCTGATATCAACATTTTGTCATTGTAGATGTCGTTTTCATCTTGCCTTTTAGCATGTCACTTAGAGGACTGAAGATCTACAGATTTTATGAAGGCATCTCTTTTGGTTTCAATAATCACTTAACAACTACCCATTCTTTTAATCCAGAAGTAAAGAAACTTCATGGTTCTGATATCACCGTGTAGACTACATCTTAGATTGAAATATCTGAAATTAGAATATTATTGAACCCAATTATCTCCTTTTCTACGGGTTTTGAAGCTAATTATATAACGTTGACAACAAATAGCTGAAAAAGTTAAATATAATTGTCGCAGAATCTATTAAATAGATCACCTGCATTTTTCTCTTCTTGTTGACGTACTTGACCGTGCCATGGCTGTTACTGCATGAACCTCTTCTTTGGGTTTCCGACATATTGTCAAAAATGATAGTTTCATTGACAAAATTTGTTTGCTCTATTAATTGCAGATCCGCAAGCGGCTTTTTGGTCAGTTTGCTGCCTAATCATTCGAAAGAATTGCCTATACAACCTTTAATGGTTCTAAAGTGGGTCAGCCCGTAGTATTTATCTTCTAATCGCTTGTCCTGTAATTTTTCCTCTTTGTTGCTTGCGTAAGCTTGCTCTTAAGCCGGTTTGTGTATTTTACTGGGCAGATTGAGAGCAGGTTCTGTTGAAGTATAATTTATTCGTATTAGCTTCTTTCTGCTATTAACTTTTGGTTATAAATTTGTACAATAAGTCTAAGACGGTGTGTTTGTTGCACTGGGGTAATAAATGAGATCGAGTTAAAATCGTGGAACACGTGTAGCTTTGCTTAAATGTTTACTTTTTTTGGAAGGCAAGTTAAGGCTTTCTTTCTTTTTGTTAATAAAAAGAGTAATGTTATGTAGCCTCACTGGAGTTGTAACTCTAGTCTATGTGGCGTTAAATGATAGACTAAATGAAATGTGACCTGTCATCTAATGCCACATTAACGTCACCTAGATTGGAATTGTAACCCCAGTGGGACTAAATAGCATTTCTCAAATAAAAAAGTTGCTTTGGAAATGTGACTATAATAACTTAGAAGTAAATTAAATTTACTTTTAAGTACAATCAAACATCTCCATTAAGGGTTTATCCCCTTGTACCGAAAAGGGGGGTACCGAATTTTGTACCCCCCCTCACAAAAAATGTGGCCCCCACGTGTATTAAAAAGTCGGCTCGTGTTCCCCACCTTTTGGTGTGAGTAGGGTGTAAAAGATTAGGTAAAATATGATGTACATGTAGCATAACCCCTCTATTAATTCTCTCTTCTTCTCCCCTCTAGTTTACCGCTTCCCTTTAGGTGTTATGTGCGGGTTTGGGTATTTGAGTTTAAAAGCTCTTTCTTTTGCAATTTTCTTTTTAATTCACTGGTGGAGTAAAATTGTTAATTTATTTGCATCGTACGACCTATTTATTGTAAAGCAAGAAGGATGATTTTGAGGTGAGGAATTTATTTTTGTTATTTTTACTTCATAAACAAGCCTGTGGGGTTGGTTACATGGATGCAACTTTTATAGAGCATGAGAATTGAATGTTAGAACTCTAGCCCCGTTTGATTTAGATAATAAAAAATAGATTTATGATATAGTACTTGTAGATGTGATTAGAAATAATTGTTGATTTTGATTAAGATTTTAATTCAAAAACAAGTGTTAGAGTGTTTTACGTTGTTAAGATCTATTTTGAAGAATTAAATAATTTGTCTTCAAGTGCCTCAAAATGATGTACAATATAATTATATATAATACCTGTTTGACATCCATTCTCATCTTATTCTCATTTTTTTCTCTTTCTTTATTTCAACCACAGATTCTCCCAATAAAATAATATTATACATGAATTTAAATTTTTTCATAACTTTTTCACCACAGATTCTTCCATCAATCACTATTTGAAAAATTATATTCATCAAAAAATGGGGTGTCAAACACTGCAAATTGCAAGAGAGAATACAATTACTCTTACAAATGACAATTAATTTGTGATTTTTAAACTGATTACTAAAATATTAATATCTTCTGGTTACCCCCAAAGTTTGATGAAATATTTCCTTTTGGCCACCCACTTACCTAACTGCCACCGACGAAGACCCAAACGACACCGTTTACAGTCACCTAATAATCATCGTATCTGAATAGGACAAACCCTCGGCGGTGGTTGGCGTCACTTACCCTTTCACTACCTCGATGAGTCCGTCACCCATAACATAATTAACTAGCTTCCGCAAATGACTAAATTACCCTTTTCAGATTCAAAATACAAAAATAATTCAAAACTTTAGAGAATTTAAATTTGCTGTAATATATCTTCAATCTTTTAGCTCTCGTTTGGTTTAGATAAAAATCATATTTTTAATAATTTTTTTAATTTTTAATAAAAATTGATGAAATGTATAATTGAAAAGTTATGGATATCATAAAATGTGTGTTTAAATTAAGTGTTAAATTTAAATTGAATTTTAATTCACTTTTTTTGTTGAATCAAAAGTGGGCCTAATTTTGTAAAATACGATAGTTAAAAAACTTTGGAGATTTTAGTGAAGTAATGGTGTGTCCATGCTGTTTATCATCCTCGTATTTCAAGATAAAAAACAACAAACGTATACTACTTTTCTTCACAATTCACTTAACAATTCTTTCGATAAAATAGTTTGAGTACAATACAAAAAATATCCCCGTACCTTTCTAAAATGAAGATTCTTATTTACCACCCACACATTGTCTAACAAAATCAAATTCTCTTTCAATATGTTCAAAAATCCGATTCCTACATATTCTTCCCAATTCATCAAATTCAAAAATTAGGAAGGACATTTTCGTCATTTTCATATCCACATGATCACTTCCCAGCTCTTCTTATATATGTTATTCACCCTTTCTCACTCATTCAAAAAGCCTCCCTTTTCACCAGAATTTTCACTTTTCCTCCACCTGCCACCAATGGAATCAGCCGCGCTGTCGCAAATTGGGCTAGCTGGCCTGGCCGTCATGGGACAAAACCTAGCTCTGAACATCGCCGAGAAGGGTTTCCCTATCTCCGTCTACAACAGGACAACCTCCAAAGTCGACGAGACCCTAGATCGAGCCCACCGTGAAGGTAATCTCCCTCTCTTCGGCCAATACAACCCAAGAGATTTTGTGCTCTCTATACAAAAACCCAGGTCGGTAATAATCTTAGTTAAAGCCGGCGCACCCGTTGACCAGACTATTGCGGCTCTGGCAGCACATATGGAGCCTGGGGATACGATTATTGATGGAGGGAATGAGTGGTATGAAAACACTGAGAGGCGTATATCGGAGGCGTCGAATAAAGGGCTACTTTATCTGGGTATGGGGGTCTCGGGAGGTGAGGATGGGGCACGTAATGGGCCATCGTTGATGCCTGGAGGATCGCGCGACGCTTATTTGAATATTCATAATATATTGGAGAAGGTCGCGGCACAGGTGGATGATGGGCCTTGTGTTACTTATATTGGAGAAGGGGGGTCAGGAAATTTTGTGAAAATGGTACATAATGGGATTGAGTATGGTGATATGCAGTTGATTTCGGAGGCGTATGATGTTTTGAAGAATGTTGGAGGGTTGGGGAATGATGAATTGGCAGGAATTTTTGAGGAGTGGAATAAGGGGGAATTGGAGAGTTTCTTGATTGAGATTACTTCTGATATTTTCAGAGTGAAGGATAAGGAGACCGGGAATGGGGGGTTGGTGGATAAGATTTTGGACAAAACCGGGATGAAAGGCACTGGGAAATGGACGGTTCAGCAGGCTGCTGAGCTGTCAATTGCTGCGCCAACTATTGCAGCTTCATTAGATAGTAGGTATATGAGTGGGTTGAAGGAGGAGAGAGAGGCGGCCTCAGAGATTTTTAGGAAGGAAGGGTTGAAGGAGGATATTAATAATGTGGGCGTGGTGGATAAGAAAAGGTTGATAGATGATGTAAGGCAGGCATTGTACGCGTCGAAGATTTGTAGTTACGCGCAAGGGATGAACTTGTTGAGGGCAAAAAGTATGGAAAAGGGGTGGAATTTGAATTTAGGGGAGCTGGCGAGGATTTGGAAAGGTGGGTGCATTATTAGGGCGGTGTTCTTGGATAGGATTAAGCAGGCCTATCAAAGGAACCAGGGACTAGCTAATTTATTGGTGGACCCGGAATTTGCTCGGGAGATGGTTCAAAGGCAAGCAGCATGGAGAAGAGTTGTAGGTTTGGCAATTCAAAAGGGAATAAGTGTGCCCGGGATGTCTGCAAGTTTGCAATATTTCGATACCTATAGACGTGGGAGGCTTCCTGCAAATCTTGTTCAGGCTCAGAGGGACTACTTTGGGGCACATACTTACGAGAGGATTGATCGTCCGGGATCATTTCATACTGAGTGGTCGAAACTCGCGCGAAAGGCCAGAGTTTAATGCAGGGATTTACAATTGAGGTTTGATTACTGTGATTGTTCTGTACTGGGCGTTTCTGAGGCATTAATTTGAATTTGAGCTGTATCTTTTGACTAGGATTTCCTGCTCAGGCATATCAAGACATTTTATTGCCTGTGCATTGTGATTTTTGCAGCTAATAAGTGAATCATGCATTTCTTATCGGAATTTCAATCATTACCTTATTCGAAGTTGAAATGTTGAAATCACCTTCACAGTTTTGTCGAGTACTGTAATGCTTAATTCGCTTATCTTGCTATGACATACTCCCTTATTTTTGTTTAGGTACTAAGACCACACGCATATATAGGCATTGTATTTATATCTACAAAATAAAAAAGACTGATTATGCAGTGCATCCGACGAATAATATCAATAAAAACTGCATAGAGGTCTAGTGTTGATAACTGATTAGATGCCTAGAAGTAAACATCAAGACTTCTATACTATGATATGAACCAACTTTGCTTAAGAGTGTGTTTTCTCGAAAGGTTATTTCATGCATTTTCCATGACATCTCCTTTTGTCAATGTTGCCATTTTTAGCCTGGATAGTCCTTTTTCATTTGGTGCAATCTCTACTTCGTTTGGGAAGTAAGGACCATTGCTTTAGCACCCGTGCAAATGACTCTACAATACGTTGCTAGAATTAGGAAGTCTTCATATTGGTTGTTTGAGAATCGGAAACCCTTCTTATTGGATGATTGTGTTACTTCCCAAGATAATGAATGAAACAGAAGAAATTCAAGTGAATGGAAAGGAAAAACCAATGTTAGCAAAACCATACCTGATCGGCCAGTTCAACCTGGAAAACCGGAAAACAGACCGAAACTGGTCCGGTTTTACCTATAAAACCTTAAGTTACAAACCCGCCTAAAAACCCGTCAGACCGCCGGTTCTAAAGGAACCCGTGACCTGCTACCGGTTTACCCGGTTTAGACAATTTATAATTGAAATTGGTAAAACCGTAAAACCTTATTTTCACTTTCAATTTCCAAGCGATTCGTCTTCTCTCCTCTTCAATGCTGTATCTATAGATGATATTTCTTCCAAATTTCTCTAATCTGTTATTGATTCCATATTCTAATTCATTGGCTGATTGTGTTCTTCCATTAACGGGTTACAAAGATTTGTAACGTATTTCTAAAGCAGGTTTGGTTCTTCTTATATGATAATGATTAAATGCTTAATTTTATTTTAAATGTTTTGGGATATATAAAAATTTGAGCACGTATATGTTATATCTCTGTTTTTTGCATGATTATTGGGGGCGGTGGCTTGAAGTCCTTTTTGTGGTAGTATTTTGGTTTTCAATAATGGCATTCGGAAAGGGAAAATGCATCTTTTATTTTACATAGCAATATCTTTGGGTTTGTTTACTGATTTTCACATACTTGGTATTCTATTTAATTCCATTCGATTTAAAACCAAAATTTGTACCAAAATTCTGTTTAATTCCATTTGGTTTAAAACCAAAATCTGTATTTTGGTCGTGACTGTAATATGACTTATGATTGAGGTGAAATTCATTTGGCTATGCTTTCAATGCTTATTAGCTTACTGGCAGTTTGTAAGTTTTAAATCATCCTGAAATGAGTAATTTTCTAAATGTGCATCAATACCTAATGAACAAATCTTTTCTTCTCCCCCCACATAACGGAGCTAATTGTTGTTAAAATGAGAATCCTAAATTAACTTGTTATAAGATTTTACAGAAAAACAGAGTAGAAAAGACTCAATGGGACTTAATCTACTATGATTGAGGTGAAATTCATTTGGCTATGCTTTCAATGCTTAGTTTAGTAGCAGTTTCTACTCACGTTATCCAATTTTTTTTT